TCCCTGACAAGTGTTTGTCCAGCTGCTGCTTGAAGACTGCCAGCGAGAGGGAACTCACCACCTCCTAGGCAGCTGATTCCACTGCTGAACTACTCTTACTGTTAAAAAAATTCCTAAAATCCAGTTGATACCATTCTGCCCATAATTTTGATCCTGTGACTGAGAGTCATATCCTTGGTTGCCAACAGGAAGACTTCCCTCCCCCCATCCTCCTCTAAGTGACAGCCTTCCTGATGCTTAAAGAGAGCAATCATGTCCCCCCTCAACCTCTTCTTTTCTAGACTGAACATTCCCAAATCCCTCAGTCTTTCATCGAAGGGCTTGGTCTCCAGGCCCCTGGTCATCTCCATCACTCTCTTCTGCACCCATTCCATTCTGTCCATATGCTTTTTGAAGTGAGGCCTCCAGAACTGCGGACATTATTCCAGATGCAGCTTGACCAATGCAGTGTGTAGCGGGACTGTGACCTCTTGTGATTTGGATGTTATGCCTATGTTGATAACATCTGAGGACCTCATTAGCCTTTTTTGGTTTTGCATCACAGTGACTACTCATATTTAACTTTCAGTCTACCTGTAATCCATTGTGTGTGCTTCTCATTTTTATTACCCAGGTGTAAAACTCTACTCGTATCCTTGCTGAATTCACATCCACTCACTTTTCCAGTGTGTTCAGATCTCACTTGAATTCTGTCTCTATCTTCTGGTGTGTTCGCTAATCTTCCCAATTCTGTGTCAGTTGTGAATTTAATGAGTAGTCCTTCCACCCTTTCATCCAGATCATTTATTTAAGAAAATGAAAGGTACTGAGCCCAGAATGGAGCCCTGTGGCACTCCGCTGGATACCTCCCTCCAATTAGATGAAATCGTCAAAAGTCCTTGTCCCAACCCAAGCTAAGAACTTTTGGTGTGCAAAGGGTTGCTGCAAAACAAAGTTACAAAATACCAGAGAGAGACTAAATCTCACCCTAGTCTTGGTAGGTGGCACCAGTCCTTTCAGTCTTTCACAACAGCCCAGGAACGAAACAATAAGTTTTCTGACTTCTCAGGGAATTAACAAGAAAAGTCAGCCCTGCAGAGTGGGACTGCAAACTGAGTGTCCAAGCACAAAACAGCTGGTAGGTGGTCAAAGGCCAAGGCTTCTGAAATAAGGCTTTGAGGTCAATGAAGGCAAAATCCATGACAAGATTAAAAATACAGTTATTTTATTTAAGGGGCAAAAATAGATAAAAGACACGACTGTGAAGGAAAAATAAAACAAATCTAAGCCTATCCAGCATTGCTAATACATAGAGCAAAGTTTCCAAGTTACCCAATGTTGGTTCATCTCAGGCAGTTCCAGCAATCCAAAGATATCCAATGGCATAGCCTTCCCAAGCAAGCAGTGAAGAAGAATGCCATGAGCACAAGCGGAGCTGGGTAACCACTGACATACTTCGGTGCCAAGAGGTTACTAAGCCTGAACCAAAGATTTTATTACACAGAGCAAAGCAAGGAACCATTTTACTTTATAGAAATGCCATTTAGTGGCATTTGGGTGTGGTTCTCCTATCAGTTCCCTATCCACCTAACTATTCCAAAGTCCAGTCCACTGTCCTCCAGTTCACTCATCAGAACATCATGGGAAACCCAGTCAAAAGCTTTACTGAAATCCAGGTAAATAACACCAATGGTGTTCCCACAAACCAGTAAATGTGCCACTTGATCAAAGATGGAAACAAGGTTCAACTGGCAGGACGTGTTGGGGAGAAATCCATGCTGACTTCCCCATGTCACCAACTTGTCCATAGGATGTGCAGAGAGTAGCCCTTTTAAAATCTGCTCCAATATCTTCCCTGGACAGAGGTCAGGCTGACTGGCCTGTAGTTTACTGGGTCATCTTTCCTTCCTTTTTTGAAGACTGGGGTAACATTCACCCTCTTCCAGTCTTGTGGCATCTCTCCCGTCCTCCAAAGGTCGTCTTCTCCTTACCAAAAGCAATTTCGGAGGTAGAAAAACTTTTCCAATAAGTAGTAGGGGTGATTAACCCCCCCAAAAAATCGGTATTTCCCAATATTCCCAAATCCTAGTACCAGTATGGTATTTGGATTCTGTAAATATCTGGGATTCCTGATTTTTTTCTGCTCATCATTATGATCAGTGATCCCCATAGGGTATAATGGAGAATCGATCTGGGGGTATCTGTGGCTTGGGGGGGCTGTTTTTTATATAGAGGCTTGAAATTTGCAATATAGCTGCTGGTGCCTCTCCTAAAAAAAACACCCCAAGTTTCAAAAAGATCGGATTGGGGGTCCGATTCTATGGACCCCCAAAGAAGGTGCTTTCATCCTCCATTGTTTTCAATGGGGGGGAAGGCATTTAAAGGGCTTGCAGTCCCTTTAAAAACCTTCTCCAAGTGGCAGGTTTACCCAGAAAGCTTTGAAAGTTTCTGTGATCCCTTTAAACACTCTTTAACTTTGACTATCTGGCATTCTTGAAAAATCCAGAATATATTCAGGATTTTGGGGGGCTAGCCACTTTGAATAGCCTAAAAATGGCCAAATCTATATCTGTCTGAAAGAATATCCGGAAAATACAGATAAGGTATTTTTTTTTTGATATTTTTTCAGCTCCAGTTTTGCTGAACGTGCACCCCAAGTACATAATGTTTTTCTTTTAAAATCATTTTATTTTGTATCTGGTTAGGAGAGGAAATGTTGAAGGGTTTTTTTCATTTTTGTATATGTTGTTTTAAAGTTCTAATTTATTTTCCGGAGTGTGTAGCTAATTAATCGATAGCAACAATTATAAAATGTTAAAATTACACTTCTACTGACTGCCAGCTAGTGAGGCTTCATGTTCCAGTAAGACTGATAAATTATTTTAATTTGCTTTTGCTGAACCAAACAACAGCACCTAATTTATCAGACAAACAAAGAAAATGAAACACTGCATCATCACGTATTTTTCCAAGGTTAGAAAATCAATCAAAAATGCAGGAACAAGTGGACTTCAAGTGTATAATGCTGTATGCTTAACAACTAAATAGTTCAGCCCTGCGGTAAGATTAATGTGTATTTATTGTAAAAATTGTGTGAGGCCAAGCAAAACAGGAATTACAGTTTAGGTTGAAAACCTTGAAAGAACCAGCCACCTTAAATAACACGTAAATAAGGGGGGGGACCCCTCTGGTTATGGTATGTCGGTATTAGAGTTACTACTGCAGTTCTTTGAAAATGAGCCTGAATAGCCCAAACTAGCCTGATCTCATCAGAGTGTGGAAGCTAAGCAGGGTCTGCCATGGTTAGTACTTGGGCGGGACAACCAGGGTTGGTATGCAGAGGCAGGCAATGACAAACCACCTCTGCTCATCTCTTGCCTTGAAAACTCCATGATAGGCCACCACGAGTTGGTTGTAGCTTGACAGCACTTAGTTAATATAATGACAAGAGGGCAGAAAAATGCACAGCTAGACTTAAAGTTTGTACTTACATGAGGGAACCTCGGGGATATTTGGGTTCACATGCTTCCTCTTCTGCTTGGGTACAGCTTGACAATTAAATACTTATACTTCCATGGCAAACTGAAGTTCATCACTGCATCCAAACTATAAACTAGAATTTACCCTCTGCCTTTGAAACTGGAATTTCCATGTCAAAATTAAACCACAATTTAACAATCTGGCTTAGAAGGAAGAGAATAAACCATAGTTTGTGGTTAAAATAACCCCCCACAAACTCTAGTTTGCCACAAAAGAGGAAGTCTTATAGTGGTTGAACTGTGAGTGAAGGGGGGACGAGAAAGAAGGGTGTGTGCAAATCCAAGGATTCATGTGTTGACAAGCCATTAATGGCTAAACTCTGTGGCTGATTTAGAAGTTAAAATCATGGACATGTTTAATATGAAAATTTAGTTATACGGTTACTTAGATAAATTATTATGCTTGATTTTTTTAACATAACCTTTATGAGTATAGCTATAAATGGGGTTTACTTCAATGATCTTTGGTGGTAGGAACCCTGCAGGCCTTCCCTGTATAAGCTTTGGCCTTTTCCAGTTCACCAGTGCCTCCATTATTCCCACAAGGTCAGCCCAGGGGAAGCAGAGTGCTTTGCTTTCCTCCAGCAGCCTATCCCTCCAGATGAACAGATCCTACTTCCTAAAGTTGCTGACACAACTACAAAGTTGGGCTGCCAAGTCCCCCCGGGGGGCGGAAAACCCCCCGCCCCAGAGGCCCGTTCCCCGACGCCGGGAAATCAGGCCCCGGGGGGAACCCCGCCCCAGCGTGCGCGTCACAGGGAAGTGACGGTATTTATGTCCAGAGCGCGGAGCCAGGCACGCTGGGGGCGGGGCCACAGCCATACAAGGGAAAACTCTGTGGTTTTCCCTTGTATGGTCGTGGCCCCGCCCCCAGTGTGCCCGGCGTCATAACGTCACTTCCCTGTGATGTGCATGCGGCGCGCGCGCGCCAGAATCCACCCGGGAGTCCCCCGCCGGCAAGGTAAGTCCCACTTGGCAACCCTACTACAAAGGCACAACTACAAAGACTACAAAGGCATCAGATCAATCTGTACTTCCTCCCTTGCCTGACCGACAGCACAAGAGAGTGGATCCAGGTTGGCAGTTCCCACTGATTTTCCTCTGCAGAACCCCATCGTGCAGTTCCTCAAGGTCCCCTATCCGACAGGAGCAGCACTATGAAGCGATCAGTGGGCAGCAGTGGGGAAGGGGGGGCAGGAAAGTTCATTCCACTGATGGAAAATTTAGTTTGGATACAAACCTTGACAACTAGCAATCATTCATGATTCAGTCTTACATGCAATTAGGATTGTTACTGTCCTATTGACATCAAGAATGGAGGAATGATGACTGAGAGGCATATTGAAGTAATTTATAAGTATACAGGACTCTGCAGCCTTAAAATCCTAGATTGTTTTCCCCACAAAGACATTTCTGTTTATTTGACTTATCTGTAACCCTGTCTATGTCAGCACGCTGTCATATTATCTTTTTATCTTACAGGTAATTTCACAACTTCGGATTTTGAGCAGGTCTGTAACTGCTGGCTGCAAATTCGACAGAGATATCTGGTCTAATGAGCTTTCTCCAGTCCTCAATCTGTGGAAGAAGCTTAATCAGGTAAGAAGGTCAATAGCTAGAGAAGATTTCAATTCCACATTCAGAATAACAGCCTGGGTTAAATGTGCGAATTTCAGCATGCATCCTGAAAATGAAGGCTTTCTATAAAAATGTAAATTCAGTAAGATGAAGAAGTTGCTATCTAAATTGGTTTCAAGTACCATTTTTTTTTTGTTCCATATCCAAAATATCACTTGCTTATACAATCAGCTGCAATTAGCTCTAGGCGAAAGGATGCTTTAAAAAACTGCAAGCCAGGCATTTCCCCTCCAGAATCTCACTAAATCTCAGTCCGTGTGTTGAGACACCTGGGAAGATGTTATAGTTGTCTTCAACAAACAAAAATAGTAGACAGGCCAAGAAAAGCACAAACATTTCATGGAACATTTATGAAAGGTGAGAATTAGTGGAGCATATTAAGAATGTCCAGATGAGAGGACTGAAATAAGATAAATTTACTGTACTGCCATCAAGAGATGATCAGTGAAACCTTTGGTCCTTCTGTCATGTGGCTCATAAATTCACTAAAATATGCTTATTAAAATGATGATATGTAGGGTTACCAACCACCAAATAGGGCCTGGCGTTCTCCCGGAATTAAAACTGATCTCCAGACCACAGCGATTATTTCCCCTGGAGGAAATGGCAATTTTGCATGGTGAACTCAGTGGCATCCCTTTACCACTGACACACACGCACACACCAGCATCATCCCCAGATCTCCAAGAATGCTGCAAGCCAGAGTTGGCAGCCTTAACTATATGTTGCTTGTGTTTTGTAAAAAATAATTCCTGTGTGGTTGCACTGGTACAGTCTTCATATATATTCTAATTTCTTGCCTCTTTCTTGAAAAATGTACGGGAAATAAATATCAGCCTGTATCTTACCACTACACTAAGGTTGAATCCTTCATCTAGCCTAAGGAGGCTGTCTTAAACTTTAGTAGCTCTTCTTATCATGGAAGAGCCACTTGCATTGAGGGAAAGCTGTGTAGGCTGTAGGAAGCTCTTCTAGCCTGAGAGAGCTATTCTAAATAGGTCTGCTGAGAATCCTATTCAGGTTTATTAAATGGTACTTCTCCCCAGAAAAATAAAGGACAGCCTTTAAGTAAGAACAAGCTTTTGTCCGGCATTACTCCATTACACCTGGAATGAGGCAGCTGTGGGATAGGTGATCTTACCATCAGTCTTCCACGGATCAGCCCACACCCGCCTCCTTGGTAAGTGCGCTTGCCACGACAATAGAAATGGGGTTGCACTTACCTGTAACCATTGTTCATCAAGTGATCTTCCGTGCAGGCACACATCCCTCCCTCCGTTCCCTGCTAATGTTTGCCAAGGTATGCTAACCAAGGTGTTTTTTCAGCTCTCACAATCATATGAAACCATGACAAGTATCAGTTTAAGAAAACCAGTATGGGAAAGCAGTACATAACTACCATGAATACATACCTAAAACTAAGGCAGCTGGTGCTGATTTCCAGCTGTATCAGCCAGTGGCGAGGCTATTAAAGGGATTCACTAGCATGAACAGATTTTATCTTGAACTCAGATTTTTTGGAATCCTGTTGTAGATGTTGGCTTTCAAGCATTTGTAGTTTTGACTTACAAAAACCTCTTATCTGGGCTGGATCCTAAGTGTGCCAAGTGAATTGTCAAGGCTATTTTCCATGGGCTGCTAGAACTGGACGTCAGTATGTGTGGGCCATTGGTTAAGGAATGAATAATCCATTAGACAGAAACATGTGAATCAAATATTGCAAAGCTAAAATCATATATTTGTGTTTTATTTTCACCTGTCATCAAAAGACCTCTGCTTTTCAATTTCTGTTTTGTCTGTGTTTTATTTAAGCTATGCTAAAGCACCCAAAGGGTGCCTGTTCAGGTTCCGGAGAATCAAGGAGTCACTAAGCTAGCCCACAGGGCACGCCTCAGGGAAAAACAGAAGCCTTGGGAGCAAAGAATCTATGCAGTCCCAGAGGTTGCCAGACCAGTGGATAGGGCAGGTCCTTGGAGCCTAATTAATTTATGATAGATGTCTAGGACCTTGAGGAAAAACAGAAATCCTTTTCATGTCTGTGTAATTTGCTTAGCTGTTCAGTGAAAAGTTCTTCCTTAATCAAAGATAAGAACTGAAACTCAAAAAAATAACCTATGTGGGAACAACCTCTGTTCATAAAGAGAAAATATTTCACAGAGCAAGATTTAGATCTTTCTTGTTGTAGCACATAGAACCTCCTAACCAATCAGCTTTTCAGCATACCTGAATAATTATTATTTTTTTAACATTAGTCACACATCTCTTTCTAAACTGATTTGAATGAGTTATATTTGAATTTTAATCTGCATAATTAGTCACTGCAGGTGGGGGTTTTTTTACATCAAGATGATTATCTGTGAGCACATTTCTTTCTGATGGTCATTCAAAATTAAGGATTGCTCACTGGTGTCTTTTCTAGAATACTAATCGACACGGTTACAATTTTTATAACTTTTTAACATTTACATAAATATAATTAATTTGCTCATGAAACCTTTTAACTTTAATTCTTATAAAGAAACTTTAGACTGTTAAAATATTATTCATAATTTTGTTTAGCATTTTCAAGGTGCCACTAACAAAGCTATATAAATGTGGCAGCCCAATTCTTGTTACAGGCTGTCCATCAGGAACACTTGTATGTTTTATAACAGCTTTCTTGGCTGCCAGTTTATTGTTACCTGATTTTTTTAATTATGACTATAAGGCACTTTGAGCCATGAGAAAAGGCAGGATATAAATCTTTTAGTAAACAAACAAATTATTCAAAAGCGCACAAATTCAGTGAACATGATAGCCGCTTCTGCCACTTCCAGCAATAGCCCTTTTCCTTGTCTCTGGCTTCATGACTTTTCATTCCAGAAAGTTCAGAATGAGTCAGAGGCTCATAACAAAGTCAGAGAAAGGGCCCTGTCATGTTTCTGTCTTTCAGGCATGAACAGTAACGAGAGCAGACTGAATTTTGGATGCATATTAAGCATCTCTGAAGTCTGTACATATCAGAGAACTTGGCAGACTGCTCAGTTGACAACAACCACAAATGCTGGCTGTCACTGACCACCAAAATTTGTGGGACTCATCTCTCTTTGTAGCCTGCAGACCAGTAGAAGCACATTACATGAGTTATTATTTGCATACAGCTTATGGAGAGGATGTTAGAAACAAGGCAGGTTTAATACACCAAGAGGCTGCGGAACCCTATGGCTAAGAGTCGGTATGGATATCCGCACAGTCTATTCCCATGTATGGATTTAATGTCTCACCATTAAAAATTAGACCATGGTCACTGGAACTTGGTCAGAGCTTTAGATTGACCATGTGAATTGTTATCAACCTAGTGACCTTTCTATTGCTGCCATGTCATCTAGTGGAACTCCCACATGAGTTTAGGCATGACATAGTTTCCTTGTTTCCACTAGTAAAAACCATTAACAAGGATTGGGTGAGGAACTTCACTGTATAAACAGTGCAGGCTGAAGAAAGGAATTATGATTCCCAAAGTAGCACAATTTTCCCAGATATGTTTCTTTGTCTTGACAGTGGTGATTGCAAAGCTACTAATACATTTAAAGCATGAAAATCTATGCAAATCAATTTTAGTAACCAGGCTATTTTGTGAAGCAACTTCTGGGTTGGAACCGACAGATGATGAAGAAGAAGGGGTTATCCACTGCTGACTCTGACAGTAAATGTGATAACTTTGTTCTGCTTACTGAATTACAATTCAAAATAAGTCAGTCACTTGGCTCAAGCTCATGAAATTTAATTTAACACACTCATATGCATACAGCCAGAATTAGCCTACAGTAAAAAAAAAATTGGCATTTTCATTTGTTAACCTTGTTTCCCTGAAGTAATAGAGATAAAATATTGTTGCCAAGATATTGCATTAATTCAATACATATCCAGAGTTAAATACATATAATCTGTTTCCAGTTAAAATCTGAGAACAGGGTATTTTTACTCCTTTTATTATTCAAATAATATGGTATGCTCTTAAGTAGTCTTTTCATTCAGTACTAAGCATGAAGTACCCTGTTTCCCCGAAAATAAGACCTACCCCAAAATAAGCCCTAGCAGGATTTCTATGCATTTGTGGTATAAGCCCTAGTGTGTCTTCTTGAGAAAAAATAAATATAAGACAGTGTCTTATTTTCGGGGAAACACGGTATGCACAGGGCCACTTATTTAAAACAAACAAATTTAAAATCATGTAATTTCTTTGAGTGGGAGCACCTTTGTACCTTTCTAATAGATCACAATCCAGAGGAACTACTGTTGTACGTGGTAGGGAAGATGTCATATACGATACTCTGTGTGTTAAGTGCTGTCATGTCACTTCCAATTTATGATGATACTATAAATTGATGACCTCCAAAAGGTCCTATTACTAACAGCCTAGCTCAGGTCTTGCAAACTGAGGACTGTGGCTTCCTTTATTAATCCAGCTCATGTTGGGTCTTTCTCTTTTCCTGATGCCTTCAACTTTCCTAGCATTATTGTCTTTTCCAGTGACTCTTGTTTTCTCATAATGGGACCAAAGTACAATAAACAAAGTTTAGTCATTTTAGCCTCCAGGGAGCATTCAGATTTGATTTGATCTAGAACCCATTCATTTTCTTTTTAGCGGTCCACAGTGTCCGTAAAACTGTCTCTAATTTGGGATTGATTTACTGATGATTTTAAGATCTTAATGTTGTTTTTAATAATGTTATGATGGTGTTTTTAATCTGTTGTAAATCGCCCAGAGCTCTGTGCACTTAGGGATTGGGTGATCCAGAAATGTATCATATAAATGAATAAATAACACCACATTTCAAATGAATCAACTTTCTTCCTGTCAGCTTTCTTCACTGTCCAATTTTTACACTTATACATAGTAATAGGGGATACTATATATGAATTATCTTGATCTCGGTCACCAAAGACACATCCTTATACTTTTCTAGCTTGTTCATGGCTGCCATTCCCTGTCTCAGTTGCAGTCTCCCGTTTGGTTGATGATTGAGCCAAGGAATAGAAAATCTTGAACAATTTCAGTTTCTTCATTGTGAACCTTAAAACTGTGTAATTCCCCAGTAGTCATTACTTTAGTCTATTTGATGTTTAGTTTAGACAGGAAGGCCTGGCGTGATCTGGTCCATGGGGTTGCGAAGAGTCGGACTCGACTGTGCGACTGAACAACAACACTTTAACCTTCAGCAGTAGTCACTTCCTCTTCACTATTTTCTACCAGTAATGTAGTATCATTTGCATATAAATTGTTTATGTTCCTTCCACCAATTTTTATTCCATTTTTACTCTTGTCTAGAGTACAGGTTGTGCATCAAAGCACACCCATTTCTTTTAAAACCAACCATAACTTTTTGTGATCAACATAGTCAAAAGCTTTGCTGTAATCTGTGAAACATAAGCTGATTTTCTTCTGAAATGCTCTCATATGCTCCAGTGACCATCTTATATTAACAATGTAGTCTCTAGTGCCCCTTTTCTGAATCCATCTTGAATATCTGGCATTTCTTCTTCCATATATGGTAACAGACTTTTGTGTAAGTATCAAGTTACTCACAGAGTAAATGCGATGGTCTGGTAGTTGCTGCGGTCTTTGACATCTCCTTTTTTGGAATTGGAATATAGATTGAGCGTTTCCAGCCTGTTGGGCCATTGTTTTGTTTTCTATACTTGTTGGTATATTCTTGTTAAGTTTTGATAGACAGCATTTCTGTGGATTGAAATAGCTCTACTGACAGCCCATCTATTCCTGGTGATTTGTTTCTCCCAATTGCTTTGAGTGCAACTTTCGCATCATTTTCTAAAACTGCAGGTACTTCTTCAAAAGGTTTTTCTTTGAAGGAATCTGTCATCCTTTCATTTCTTCTGTATAGTTCTTCAGTGTATTGTTCTCATATTTATTTTTTCTCTTCAGTAACTGTATTTCTGTGTTGATATTTCAGCATACCTAACTGTGCTTTAAATTTCTCTTTGATTTTTTGGATCATGTGGAACAGATCGCTTGTTCTTCCTTTTCTGTTGTTCTCTTGGTGCAAGTCTTTTTTCTTAATACTTTTTGTAATTTTGCATGATTTTCACCTTTTATTCCTCTTGGCTGATAGCAATAAGGGAGTTACACTCTCTGTAGTTAAATTTATGTTTTCTGCTCTTAAAGTTAGCCTGTACGTACCATCTAAACCTGGGGGTTGAGTTTTGTTCTCTTTTTTCATTTTTACTTGTTTATTCATTTATTTTAAATATTTGATAATTTGGGAGGGTTTTTTAATTGGCCCACATGCTTTGTGCATAGGCGCTTAAATTTCTGAACAGGAACAGGCTTTATGTAATACAGTAAAAGTATAAATTTCTGAAGTGCTATGCATATTATATATTCTGAGTGGTTCTACAAATGTGCAGAGAACAAATTGCTCATTTGATTTTTAAAATTTTTTGTTGAAGAATGCTGTGAATTCATGTGTGTTCCCAGATTTCACTGCTATTGGCATGAACAGTTATTTAATACTTTCACTTGGGGACTGGGCATCGCTCAGTGGTAGAGCATCTGCCTGGCATGCAGATGATCACAGGTTCAATCCTTGACATCTTCTAGTTCAAAGGATCAGGTTATAGGTGATGCAAAACACTTTTGCCTGAAACTCTGGAGAGCTGCTGCCAGTCTGAGTACATAATACTGACCTTGATGGACCAGTGATCTGTTTCAGTAGAAGACAGCTTCATGTGTTCCCATCATACTGTAAGAACCACCTCAAAATCAGTTAGAGAAAATGAATTCTGCAGCTGTATGTCTATATATCAATAAAAATAGATTGCTATAAACTGATCACTTATGTAAAGACTTTTACTCTGTCTAATTTCTTTTTCATTATCTGTATGATTTTGCGGCTTGATTTTGGAAGAAATCATGATCCTGAGAAAATTATGTTAGAAGTAATTTTCTGCTGATGGTTTTAGTTGAGCAATTTGCAGAGTTGTGAGAATTTAGGAACATTGATTATTGAAGAGGAAGCACTAATTAGCTGCAGTAAACTACAGATTCAGATGTTTTCCCAAAATATATGTTTCAAATTCCTCCAGTATAATTCTCTTATTACAGGCTATTTAAATATTCGTTCTTGTCTTTTTGATATGTGTTAAGTTTAACCCATCAACATTTCAAGTGCAGACTCTGAATCATAACTTTAAGGATAATTTTACACATTATGTATATATAAACCTGGGTTTGACACCAAATGTATACTAAACAGGGTCCTGCAGCCACCAAGAGTAACCTGATAAGTATACATGTGTTTATAAATTCACTGTTGCCTAATTTGTCCTTTGTTGAAAACACAGCTGAAAAATGTAATATATTCAGTGGTCCTAAGTAAAATTTACCAAAATTACAGGTCTAAGCATCCCATAAAGTTAATATTCCTTGCTGTAATAGTTTTTAACTTTTAAATATTCATGTTACATTTTTACCCCAGGTACAAATTAGATTGGGGGCTAGTAAATGTCTGAGGGCAGCTACGCAGCTAAGACTCAAGGGAAGGAGCAGTTCAAGACACTGACAGCCAGCACATATGTATCTTTGGGAAATCTACAATTACATCTTCTCAGAATTTTTTGACGTAACTATATGGGGCTCTGATTTGGATCAGGCTATGGTGTGTAAGGGGGGGGGGGGTTCACCAGTCTCCCAAACATTGCTATTTACTTTTCTAATCAAGTTTGATCCCTCATTCCCATTATTAGTCCTGGAAGGGAGAGAAAGGCAGGCACTGACTCTTTGCCTATCTATTTTTACTTCTATAGCTAACAAGGGTCCAGGATATAGGACATTTTTGCTCAGCAAAGCCACACAGGGAAAAGTGTTAAATGCCTCCCACTTATCATAATCTCCCACATTGCAGCTCTGAACTGACTGACTTACTATACAATTCAGTTTCAACTGGAGTAATGAATGGTAGAGTCTTGCATAGTACCAGTTCTGTTTTACTCATCTACTTATGAATCTTTTTAACTCTTCTTTTCACAAATGTTAGATGTATGTAGATTGGTTCCCTTGGTAGACCCAAAGATAAGTGAATTGTCTACGTTCAGTGATTCTTTGGGTTGCAAAGGGTTTCAGACATTACCAGCCTAAGAATGAAGGAAGAAGAAAAACGAGCTGCTTTATCCTCGTTCCTGTATCAGGCATATGACAAGTGATTCGAGTATATGCTAACTTGTTTTTGAAATTTTGAAGACCTCGCTGTCTGAAAATACATGCCAGCCAAAGTGATTAGACTGCAAAATAGTACAAATATTAAATAATGATCAGAATCAATTGGACTGCTTTGGCCACTGGAAAACTATTAAGAAAATGCAGTATTTCCATTAAAGCCCCCAACATATAGCACTTTGTATTTAAATTACAAAAGCAGCAGCAGAATTCACGTCTGCAAGCCATGTTATGTGTGAATATGTAGTGAATTTCCCTTTCAGCTCCTTCCATGACAACCACCAAATATAGTTTTAGAAGCAGATGATACTCTTGAATTAGAAAACTCATTGTGGAAGCAGCTGAAAAAGAGAAACAATAAAAAGGCCTGATGTGTGCACCTCTGCAGTGTTTCTAAGAAAAACGTTTTATAAATCATGGCTCCTTGCTTTTGTTCATTAACTGAATGGCTTGCCTTTTTCTTTTAGAATTCCAGTCTGATTCATCAAAAGGTGTCTCCCCCTACCGAACGGCAAGGATCCCCAATTCTTTCATTCATTATTCTGGAACAGTTCAATGCCATCCGCTTAGTTCAGAGTGTCCATCAATCCCTTGCTGCTCTCAGTAAAGTAATCAGAGGTACCTCGCTGCTGAGTTCAGAAGTACAACAATTAGCAAGTGCTTTATTAAATCAGAAGGTAAGGATTTATTTACCATTCTTTGTGTAAATGATACACTGAATTTTCATCATGTGAATATGATGATCCTGGACCAAAGCCAACTAATTCCGACAATGGGCATATGTTGTCTCTCTTTTTTTAGACTTTTGGTTTAAAACTGCAAGAGATCATTTGTTCAAAACCCTGGAATGTCATTGTGGAAACAGGAATGTTTGTTACACCTACCATTGAAATATATAGAGTTAAAGCTATATTATCCGGTGCTCAAAGGGAATGAGAACTGCCAGTGATCAGATACTGGTGAATACAGGGTTTGGTTTTGTTTTCCTGTTTGCTGATGCATGAAAGAAGACAAACCATTATGAATGTGTTTGTGGGCCCAGGGCAAGGAAAGGGAGTAGGGGCAAGGGAGAACACCAACACACACTGATTGGGGAAAATAGGCCGCAGCTTTATTGAATACAGCCACAGGAGCATTGGCACAGTACGGGGATGGATCCAGCATCAGGTGACCCATCTCCATCCCCTCAGCCTGCCTACAGAGTGGCACCCCAGGATCCCACATGGGCACAAGCCAATTGTTCCCTTGCCACCTGATAGTAAGAACCAGCTGACAGCCCCTGAGCTGGCCACACCGCTGAATGGCTCCACCCCTAAGACCCTTTAAGGGAGTCCCCCAAAAAGGGGACACAAGCTCACAGGAACAGTCTCTCCCACCAATGGATTTGTCCCAGTGCCCAAACTGCCACAAGAGCCAGGCCACCCACCCAGCTCCTGTCAAAGCTCCTATGACTGCAGCCAGCAAAGCAACCTGTTGCAAACCATTGGATCCAAATATCCCACCCCACTCAGAGAGATGGACGCCATCAGCCCTGAGGAGGGCAGCCTGTTAGAACAACATTTTTGGATCCTGAATCAAGAGGCCACCTGCGGATTTAATGGTTGGCCATGTTGCATTGCTGGACTTTCTATCTGGCCAGGTCTGCTTAGTCTGGCAAGATGGCCCTGTGCCACTTCGGACGCTCCAGAAGCTCAGACCACCGCAGCATTGCATTTGAGTCCGTAAGTCTGCAGCCATGGAGTCTGCAGTAAGTCTGGAGATGAGTCCGTAAGTTTGCAGCCATGGAGATGGTGAGATCAGCCCCCTTCCAGCACAACAGGTTGTTTTCGCCTAGTTGGATGACAGTGGTGTGAGGGGGAGGGTCCAGGCGGAAACCTTGTAGTGAAATGGTAGAAGGGAGAGTGGCCCAACACATTCCTCTGTGAGCCTTCCAGGTAATCCGAAGGTCTAGCTGGTCCAGCCAAACTGCTAGTTCCAGATTTGCAGCTGCCCTCACTGCAGACAGCAGTGCCTGCAAAAGGGCCTGGCTTGTTGCTTGTCTTTGCTGGGAACTTCAGCCCTGAGTGAAAGAGCAAATTGATGCCAGTGAGCCTTTCAGGCACTAGGTTTTCCTCCCACCTCCCTGTAGTGACAGGTAAACGTGGGGATGGGCCTTTTGCCTCCAGACATATTGCTAGCCGTGACAGATGCCAGTAAACTGAGTTGTCCAAATAACAAAGTGCCTGATAACACAGCTTTTTCTGTATGTAAACATGTCGCAGAGCCAGAGAGGTGTAGAAAGCCTTACTGTCTGTCTCCCCTTGAGACATTTTGAGACTTGGCAGTGCAGATTTTCAATCCTTTCCTGGTAAGAAGAAAGGCGCTTCAACCGGTATAAAGCCTCAGCTTACAGAGTGAATGAATCTAGATGCAAATATTGAGGTTGCCTTACTCAAGGGTAAAGATGTAGAATTTCCAGAAATTTTGAAGGGTTTGTTGTGGGTTTTTTGGTGGAAAAAATGGAAGTTTGGAGAAAAATTATCCTATCAAGCTTAAAATAATTTTACTGCCTTAACAACATAAAGGCATCATTTATAACTTCTTGTTGGTTTTTGCCATCGAGTCACAGCTGATTTATGGTGACCCTGTAGGGTTTTCAAGGCAAGAGATATTCCAGAGGTGGTTTGCCACTGCCTGCCTCCGTGTCCCAACCCTAGTATTCCTTGGAAATCTTCCATCCAAATACTAGCCAGGCCTGACCCTGCTTAAGTTCCAAGATCTGACACGATTGGGCCAGCCTGGGCTATCCAGGTCAGGGTATGACTTACTTAGCATATAACATTGCATTATTTGACATATTTATGAAATCTAAAGTTATAAATGGAAGTTAAAAGTGATTATACCCTTGACCTGCTGATGTGGACTCTAAACTATACAGTCCCAAGCATGAAAACCAAGGAAAATTTAAATTACTGCAACTTTAAGTAATACTAAAATGGCCTGTTTAAACATTGTTTAGGATAGGTACCAAGTATCTGAGCCCATTCGTGGGGAGGGCGGGGTCGAAATTTAATAAATAAAATGAAAAAGTATAGTCCCTGACCTGGGTGGCCCAGGCTAGCCCACTGTCACCAGATCACAGAAGTCTAGATCCTGGTTAGTACTTGGATGGAAGACCACCAGGGAAGTCCAGGGTTGCTACGCAGAGGTAGACAATAGCAAACCACCTCTGTTCATCCCTTGCCTTGAAACCGTATGGGGTCACCATTAGTCGGCTGCAACTTGATGACCCTTTCCACCACCACCACAAAGCACAGGGAAAGTGGGTTGCAAGTTTTTACTTTTGCTTTGTACCATTGATCAATCTGAATGCCTGGACAGACCGTGATGGGTTGCTGTGTTAGTCTGTAGTAGTAGAAAAGAGTAAGAGTCCAGTAGTACCTTAAAGACTAATAAAATCTCACTAAGAAGTGAGCAGTGACTCACAAAGAGCTCATACCGTACCACAAATTTTATTAGTCTTTAAGGTGCTACTGGACTCTTACTCTTTTCTACTGAGCAGACCATGTGTATTATTCTTATTTATTTCTTTTTTCAAATTTATACCCTGTCCTCCCAGCCAAGGCCGGCTCAAACTTTCTTATATTTTGAATGCTCTAAGCCTGAACCCTGGAAGCACACCACACCTATTTGGTTGTGCTGTCTGAAGTGCAGTCGCAGGGAGGGGCAGAGAGTAAACTCACCATCCCTGGAGTGTGGTAGACAAGTCAACCAGGTAGACAAGTCAACTAGACAAGTCAACAAGTCAACCTCTAAACAGCAATGGAGGTACCGTGTGCAAGACATCCAGCTCCATTTAGCAGGAGAGGCTCTCAGAACTGCTGATGGTGATATCCATTGGGTGATAACCAGTTTGTTTTTGGTAACCCTTGGGTGTAAGGGAAGGGGTGGTGTCGCTAGGCAAAGACTTGGGGCTGCTGCAGGGATTCCCAGCCTCCCGGGGACCATCCCAAAGGGACAGGGGCAGGGGGCTCGCAAGTCTGTGCCTTTGCAGTATATGTGCCTTTTTTAAAAAAACCTCCTGTGTAATTTTCCTAAACATTTTACAATGAATGACCATAGCGATAGTGTGATCCTGTGGCCACTTACCGTTTCTTTATTTCAGTGCCCCCTCGCTTGGCAGAGCAAGTGGGAAGGTCCAGAAGATCCTTTACAATATCTCAGAGCTGTCGTTGCTCGAACGCTCGCTATCCAGGTACGGTTTTCTACTTCACTAAGAATTAGCATTTGAATCATTTTAACATTCATGTGCGTTTTATGTATGTTTATATCCCCACCTTTCTTCTTTGAAAGAAAACCCCAGGCTGGCTACTGGCACAAGAAAGATAAACTGTAATTGGGCTTAGCAGGCATTCTCGTGTCTCTCTGTCTTCCTGTGCCAGCCACAGGCAGTTGGAGTGTTGACAGTTTCATCACTTTATATGAACCTGAACTTCTGTGCTGTGATTGCGGTGACTCATCACTGATTGTGCACAGCTTTCCAATGGTAATAATGGATTCCCTCGTATAATGATGCATTTCTATCAGTGGTACTGGAAGAACATTAGCTTTTATGGAGTGCTGTTTTCCATAGTATTCAAAGCATCTTGCATGCATTATCTTGGTAATCCTTACAAAAACTTGGCACACTAGGCAGGCATTGTCCCCATATTCCATATACTGCTCTGCCTTGTGGAATGGCCTGCCAGAGGAGGTCGGGAAAGCTCCCACTCTCTTCACCTTCCGCAAACTATGTAAAACTGAACATTTCAGGACGGCTTTTTTGCACAGGTAATAAAGCTGTGTACAGTACAAAATGGTAAATGATTGGGACTTGTGGGCTTTACTGCTGTATATAACGTATTGTATGTAGGATCCTGTTATGTAATTTCTGGACTGCTTAATGTGTCATTTTAATACTTATTTTATATTTCTGTTTCTCTCTGGTGGTTCCAGACTTCTAATATCCCAATGCATTAGTTTATTGAGTGTTCCATTTTGTTGATCGTACTGACTCACGATGTGTAATCTGCCTTGACTCCCTGTGAGGAAGGTGGACTATAAAGAGAGCCAGTTTGGTGTAGTGGTTAAGAACGGCAGACTCTAATCTGGAGAACCGGGTTTGATTCCCCACTCCTCTACATGCAGCCAGCTGGGTGACCTTGGGTCAGCCACAAGTTCTCTGAGAGCTGTTCTCTCTAGAGCAGTTCTCTCAGAGCACTCTCAGCCCCACCTACCTCATAGGGTATCAGTTGTGAGGAGAGGAAGGGAAGAAGATTGTAAGCTGCTCTGAGACTCCAAGTGAAGGGCAGGGTGTACAGGCCGAAATGCGTCAGGTCAAGTCCATTGGTCCTTGTGTGTAAGATTTTGGTATTTTTACATGAGGTGTGATTGGGCCCTTATATGTTTTTAAATTCTTTGCTAATAAATACATATATTTTTTTATATTATATACATTAAGTTTTTATTGTTGGCCCTCTTTTCTGTTTGACTTACCTCTTTAGGTTCTGGTTCCCAAGTTTCAGGGTTAAGTCCGCCCCCCCCCCGTTTTTTCTCCCCTGGTATAAATCCAACTCTTCTTCTTCATAAATAAAATAAAATAAAGGGGCTGAGACTGATAGAACAGTGGCTTGCCCAGGGTCATATTTTGTATTCATGGCAACATACTGATCCAGGCAAAGGGATCGTCAGTTGTTAATCGTTATTCAGTCTTTTCACAACTCCTTCTGCCTCGGGGACTCTAGAGCTAGCCCCAAGCATCAGAGGCTAGGATCCTGGAGGAAGAAAGCTATCAGTCAACTGGGAAAAGATGCCAGTAGGGCAGTGGTCAGGTTCCATTATCAGCTCCTGAAAGGCAGAAGGACCAGGAGCAGGTAAACAGATTCCAAAGAGAGGCAGGAGGTCAGGTCCTGAAAAGCAGCAGTGCAGGGGAAAGGACGAGAAGCTCAGCCAGGCAGGTTCCTCTCCAGTGGAGTCCAGATGGCCAGAGTGAAGAGCAAGCTCAGAGTCTTTGGGATTTTATAGAGCTTCATGGAGCCAGAAGGGTCCTTTTTAATAGCTGGCTAGATACTAAGCTTGAGGTCAGCTGAGTGATGGTTAAATCAGCACTGCAAGCAAGGGCAGAGCCCCTAGTTAGAAATAACACAGAAATTACTGGATTATTTTCAGATTAGAGCGCTAACACGAATTGCTCAATTCTTTTGTGTTGCATTGTAGCTCTTATTTCAGGCGGCAGATGTCTGAGTCATTATATAATAGGAAAATGTATCATACCAAATTAAAATCTGCAAGTCTAAGAAATCAGAAGAGTGTGTGTGTGTGTGTGTTTCTGTTTTCTTGCATACATACACACACATCTCTGTAAAACTTTATGCCTGTATTATTACAGGGTATTTGATTGTATTGTCGCCCTGAATATTTAGGTAAAATTAAATGCCCCTCAGCATGATACCTTTTGGCCTAGAACACTCTTCACAGCCCACAATGCTATTTTTCATCTTATCTGTGACAAATAGGTTTGATTTAGAAAGATTATTCAAGCCCATTGATCCTTTAACTCCTATGCATTTACTAGCTATCTTTTCAAGGAATTTCGCAGAACTAGAGAAATATTGTGACACATTTAAACAGAAGAAAATATGTCGTAGAAAAACTACGTTTTTAAAATAACCAAATAACACTTATAGTGCATTCCAAAACAGCTGATTATATTCAGTCTGATTCTTTTTGCAAAAACAGAGCTTCACACAGATAGAAAGATTTATCCATAGAACATGACAAATACTGTAGTCAAAAGTTTATTACTGTTACCAGCTTAGAAATTCATTCCTTTAATAGGCTCCCTAGAATTCTCTGTAGATGAGGCATATTGTATTAGGAAGTTCTATAATAAAGAGGATTTTAATTTAATTCTTCCATGTAGAATAGCTTTACCCTTGGGAACGTACACTGAGATGAAGAATGCACCAGCAAATTAACATTTCAGCCTTTCTGTATTGCCATGGATTATTAGATACATTAGGCCACTTCACAGGCATGAAATTTCATTAAACTTTGCAAAAACTCTGTGACAATAGCGCTTTGTGTATACCACTTTGATTCTCCATTTCAGCACAGTTCTTTTTAGTCAAGTTTATGCTGTCAGGAATGGTTCGTGCTATTATCTGTTCTTTCACTGGTGTCCAAAATCCAGTCTTCATTTACAAAAATAGCATCTCCTGGTTGGAGACTGCCAGGGACTTTGGGGCTTTGAACTGGCCAGCCTTGGGACGAGTACTGCTGCCCCATGTGGTGAGGTGCAGCATCTACAGTGTGAGCTGGTTCCAGGGGCTATAGGAAGGCCCTTGGGGGAGGACTCTGCCTATAAACTCAGCCATTGGCTCCCTGGAGCAGAAACCAGCTGTAAAGCCCCAGCGAAACCTCCTTGCTTATCCTGGGGCTCTGTTGCTAGTACTCTCCTACTTGCTGCCTCTGTCTTCTCTCAAGACCTTGGCTCCTGGGTTGTGTCAGCTTCTGTCATCCTAGCATCCGACTTCTGGCTTTCTTTGTAACATCTGCTCCCAGCTCCTGATTGTCGTGGTTTCTGACCTCCCAGCATCCTCTATCCTTCTCTGCAACCGTGGCTGGGAGTGCATGCTTCAGTACCACTCCAGCCTCTGTTCTGCTGGCTTTTTCCTCTGGATTTTCATCCACCCCATCCTCAGCTCCTGTTTTCCTGTCCCAAGCTTTGCATTGCTTTGCCTCCCATGATCCAAGCCTAGGCAGGCTAAAACTCTGTGGCACTAGGGGAGGGATTTTTCTGACTTCTAAAGCCATCCTTGTCTGTCAGTCATCAAGCAAGGTCCATCTGGAGCTTTTGCAGAGTTCTGAGTATAGGCACTCGCAGGATTCAGGTTGCTTCCAAAGTTCATTGGACAGGTCCATAATCTCCTAATTGGTGTTAGAGCAGCAGATGCTGAGAAATTCATCACACAATTGCCAGGCAGGCATCCTTGTTTACACATGAGATGACCCCTGGTATGATAGCCATGGGCACTACAGGATGAGAGGGCCAAATTGTTCCTCAGTCAACAAAAGGGCCTTCCTAAGCAGAGTTCAGTCGATTTAGAAGAATCTAACGTAACAAATCAGCTTGTGGTTGCCTGTGGACAAACTGTCCTCAAACTGAATATTTTTATTCACTGGAGGAGATGCCACATCCCTGGGGGTAGATGGGTGGTGGAGGGGGGCAGCAGAAAGCAGCGTGTAACCATGCAGATGGTTACATCCAAAGCGTTCAGAGGCAGGGAAGCAGCATGTCAAACAGCTGCCTCACTGACTGCAACTGACAACCAAGATGCAAGCTGAACCAGCAGAGGATCGAATATCTTTGGCTACAAAAGCCATTGCCTGAAAACACAGCATTGGTTTCTTGGGTGTTTGTTTGTTTGTTTCCCCCATCCACAACAGTCCCTCCAAACACTACCAGCCCTCCAAAATGATGCAGGACTTAGAAATCAGAGCCATCAAACCAGTGGCTAACCAGGAAAGGGAGCATGAGCTCTGAATCCTGAGACAAACCTGCCTAGTTTGGGTCCTTGGTTTTGTTTCGTGCTACTCTTTTTCTGATTGTTTGACCATTCATCCCTCGTTAGAAGTAATAACGAGGGGGAAGGTTAGGAAAGAGGTTTACATACTCACACAACTCTGCTATCCACAACCCTTCCTTCAGTCACATGCTTATCATATCCAATACGGCAGCCCTCTTGGCACAATCAGTTCATGTACAGCATCTGCCCACCTCTTCTGGCAAAGAGAGTGAGCCCAGAGTGGCAGCAGCCTTAGACAGTGTCACTTGGTTTCAAATATCCAGTCAGCTATTCTGTGCAAATAATTGTCCCACAAGTGGCCCATCACATGAGCCTACCATCTCATGAAGAATTGCAGCTTTTCTTCTGTGAATATCATCAATCACATATGTATTGAGTCTTGGAGCCAACCATAGATCTTTAGACAATGTATTTACTTAGTTCATTTATACCCCTCTGTTCTCCCCAGTGTCTTCCATTTTATCCTCACAACAACCCTATGAGGTAAGTTAATCTGAGTGTATAGGACTGGCCCATGGTTGCCCAGCAAGCTTTCATATGGCAGAGTGCGGCTTCCCATTCTGTTATGGAAGCTTGCTGTGTGACCACACACTAGTCTCATCCTAACCAAACTGATAGGGTTATTGTG